TCCTTCACACACAGGCAAAATGTCAGTGTCAGAGGAAATCGTGGTTACATAGTTGAAATATCTATTATTTTTCCCTAGATTTGAATGAGTCATTCTTGACTTGAACAGACACTAAACTTTGGCCATGTTTCTAAAGAATAGTGCCTCTCTTTATTGCAAATCTATATGATGGCATGAAATGGTATTCTGGAAGAGGACCTACCCGTGGAATGGAAAATTAGTGTCTTTTTTTATGATCATTTATTTAAAAAGAAAAGAGAGAGACTAACAGATTTTTTTCTATTTGTGATTGAGAACTTGTAATTCACAGCAGAGGCTTGCCATTTCTTATTGAAACCCTGAATGTAGTCTTTGTGCTGTGACTAACGTCATGAGTCTGATTGTATTAATATGTTTCTCAAGGCACAACCTATAAAAGCAATTTTCTGCTCTGCCATAAAATATTCATGAGAATACAGGCTTTTTTGTTTTGATGCTGCATTCTTTAAGTAGAGAAGGTTTTATTGTTTTCTTCAGGGCGCTTTGGGTCAAAAGCACCAGCAGCTTCTGTTGGGAACTCATGGCATTTCAAATAGTTTTTGATACTGAAATAGTACAAGTCATGTTTGACGCACCCACCAGCAGCCGGAATGAATGGGGATTGTGGTTCTGATCTCCACAGCTGGTGTGCAGGGCAGGGCCTGGGGACAGCGTCAGCCACTGCCCCCGCCCACCTGGCCTCCCGATGTTGAGCACATTAGAAGTGAGAAGGCCGCATTTCTCAGGGGCCCTCGCGTGGGTCTTCTTGCCCCATGAAAGTTGAAATGCTTGTTTTGGGGTCTGAGTGTGAATGCAGCATTGTTTTCAGGGGTGACGAAATGGCAGTAGCTGGTTATGGTATATCTGATGTGGGTAATGTATAGCTTTTCATTCTTCTTGCTCTGCCTTTAACTTTATCTTTAGCAGAAGAATGAAGTTTTGTGTGATACTCCAATGGAAAACCGAGGCGGGACTTCCATCCCTTTGTAACATTTAGGAAATACATAGGAAATGTGGCAGGGAGAGCATGGTGACATTCTGCTGGAGCCAGCATTTGCTCATCAACCTCCACACCCACGTACGCCTTCTCTCTGTTCCCCCTGGGTTGGGGGGCTTGTCGGCAGGTCTCCTCGCCATCTTAGCAAACTCTTCATCTGGACCCATCCGCTCTGTGGTGTCTATGGAGGAATTAACAGGGGCTGCCAGGCAGTGTTTCCTTATAAGATTCCCTGTGATTCCAGACCCAGAAGAATCTGAGAAGAGTGCGCGTAAACAAACTGAACCTCACTGGCGTGTGGTGGGTGTGCACAGCCTGACCCACCCCGTTTCTGAGAAGGAACCATCGAAACAGCCCAGGCCTGACCCGCCACCTGAGTGTCTGTTTTTGCCTGCAGCATCCTCCCTGAGGCCACCACCCTCTTCTCCTTCAGTCCTCAGGCCCCTGCCGCCAGCCCCCGTGCCTGAGGCCCGCCTCCCCCACACTGCCAACACCCTGCCCAGGCCTGCAGGCATGCTCCAGGATTTGCAGACACAGGCCTGCTCTCTGAGCGGGGATCTGAGCTCCTCCTCTCCATCAGCATCCCCACGACCCTCCACTTATGCCCGGACCCCTGGGTTCTTGCTCATGCTGCCCCTTCCGTCTCGGGAGAGGCAGCCCCCGTGTGGACCCTCCCCAGGCCTCCCATCGGCCCCACGGCCCTCTCCTGTCTGGTGTCCCACACGGCCTGCTCCAGGCGGGAGTGGCAACTGTCCGCCAGCGCTCAGCACAGAGCAGAGACCCCACACGTTTCTTCAATAAGTGAAAGCATGCGTAGAAATGTTTGGCTCATCATGTTTTTGAAGTTAATAAAAAAGATACCTTAAAAGCTGTCTTATGTTCAGTGTTTAAAGACATTAAGTACTAGACATTTCTGATGGTCCCCTGACCCCCACTATGAACAATTAGAAATAGGAGAGGATGTACTAACATGAGCAGCACACGGGTCTTCCTGTGCCAGCTTCTTCGGGACTGCCTTGCGTAAGATCTTAGGACACCTCGGCACGTCTTAGAAGTGGGGGTCTCACCTGACTTCACCCCCATGGGGCAAACTAGGTTATACAGTGTACAAAATGCAGGAAAATAAGATTATTTTATTAATTCCCCCTGCTTATTAAGCTAAAATATCGCTGCTTAACCAGATAGATGGAGTATGAGAGAGATTATAGGCCCGTCTCACCTGCAAATGTACTCAGACGTTCTTGATAAAACGGTTGTGGCTGACTCCATCAGTGACTGTGCAGACCCCGGCGAGAGCGTCAGGCTTATCCCAGAGAGCAGAGGCAGGCTGACCGAGGTCTGTGAGTCACTTGCCTGTGATGTGTGAAGTCACGAGGCAGGTTAACAGGTCAGTGGAGAACAGCTTTCCGGTGGCATCGGTGGATGCAGAGAGGGAACCCGGAGGACCTGGCGCCCGTCCCAGGGGCGATGTTTTAGGAAGTGTCGGCACTGTCGTGCTGTGAAGGCAGGGAACGTACCCCACCTCGAGAAAGCAAGACGTGAACCGAATTTCCTGCAGGAAGTCGGGTCACCCTCTCTTTTCCTTTTCTCTGAGCCTGTGTACTGAGCTCTTCTCCCTGTACTCCATAATATTCCTTAAAATTTTGAAAGTCTGAAGCAAATGGGGGGAAATATTGAGGTTTTATAAAACTGGTGTTGTTTATGCATTTTGCTGTATTTCGTAATAAAAATGATCTAAGAAAAGAAAGGAAATTAATGAAATCCAGCCTTGAGCAGCTTGGGGGGAGGGGAGGCGGGGGCCGGGTACCACCATTCCCAGCCTATTCATGAAAACACAGTTTGTGTAGGTTTTTCTCACATTAATATCAAATAAAACCCTCTTAATATGTCAAGCCTCATACCCAATTAGAAGAAAAAGTGCATTTAAAAAGTTGAGGGTTGCCCTTCACTGATTTGGGGAAGAAACAGAAGAGAAACAATCCGCTGGTATTTATCCTGCACTTGTTGGTGCTTAAAAGGGGAGAGAATTAGATATTTTCTTAAAATGATGGAATGTGAGAATTTTCTAATCTCCTCCTGGGTGGTTCTGTCTCTTTCTCCGTTCCCTACAGCTGCTCCAGGCTCTGGGCCTCCAGCACCGGCCCTGGAGGCTCCAGGTGGGAAGAAGCGGGGCCTTGGCTGCAGGTCCTGGGGAGGGAAAGATGATGATTTCAGTCAAGGAGCCAGGGAGGCTCATGTCCTGGGCTCCGCTCCATCCCAAGCAGTGTCCTGGCCTCTGTCTACCTGAGCTGTGCCCTGCAGGCATGATGACTGAATTTCAGTGGAGGACCCTGGGGCTCAGAGAGGCCAGGTGACTGCGCCGGCTCGGGGGTTGGAACCTGGGGCTTCTGCCTCCCAAAGCCGGCCTCCCCATCAGCAGCAGCGCATCCCAGCCTTGCCTTGTCCGAAGATCGGCCCGCTTGGGGCCTGCTGCCTGGGAGCTGACCACAGAAATGCTGTGTCCCAGGGGCAGTTCCACTGATGGGCCCTTTTACTAGAATCCACGGGTTGTGGGGCTGTGGATCACAGACTTCCCAAGGTTTGGGGTCATGTTTAGGACCAGAGGGCCCTATGATCTGGGCGGCAGGTCCTCGGGCATGTGGGTGGGCCACTCCTAGGGAGACACTGGGACAAGGTCAAGTGAAGGACATGGCCTGATGTGCAAGAGTCTCGCAGAGATGGTCCTCAAAGTGAGCAGCTGGTCCTTGGTGGCCCTCATCTGCTGAGTTTGGGCTCCCGTCTGAGCCTTGACACTCCGGAGGGTGAGGCCCTCGTCTTCTGACCCAGGCCCCACGGGCCAGTGTGCATCAGTTGATGAAGAAATGAGCCCAGAGCATGTTATGGGGGGAGCTTTCTGGAAGGAACGGCAGAGCCCGTGGGCCTCTGTGCTGGGATCTGTGGGAGGAGCACAGGCTGGTGGGCTCTCACCTCAACCTGCCCCCGGGGTTTTATGAGCAGAGCACAAGGGGTGTCCATGGCATGTTCGAGAAGCTTCACTACAGTGTCCCCGGGACTGCGCTGGAGGTCACACTGGCTCACAGGGAGCACCTGCATCCTTCTCATAAGTAAACCGTCATAAAAGGAGTTATTTTGTGATATCCATGATTTAAAACTTTCTTTCTGCATCCTTTTTTCCCTTTAATTTAGTGTTGATTTGTAAACGGTGAGATTGATTCAGCTTCTGTTTCTAATCAAAGTCACTCGTAGCTTGTGTTTGGCAGTACGTCAGTCCAGTGAAAGAAAGCCATTTCTCTGTGAATTAGTCCAGTGAAGGAGACCGTTCCTTCGTGAGGTCCAGCAGCACGTACCCCTGATGAATGGACTGGTGCAGGCGAGCCGGGGAGCGTTTCATTGGCTGCAGTCGGTAAACATGTTTTCCGAGAGGGCGCTCGCTTTGCCATGGAAACGGGCTCCCCGTCCTGAGTGTCTTTCTGGACCACTTCAGGGGCACACACTGTTCTGTGGTTCCTGTGCAAACTCTTCAGTGGCTTCGTGAACAAGAGGAAACGCGCAGGCCAGTTTGTTCTCTACTTACTGGTGTTTAGCTCTCTTCAGAGCCTTTGTCTTTCTCTTTCTCTTTGTTGACTTTCAAAAATGATGTCAGAAAGGGCACTGGGCCTGCAGTGGGGTCCTTTGAGAGAGCGGGCCTCCCCTGTGGAGAGTGGGGTAGGAGGGGAGAGAGTTTGTGCAACTGTGTCCTGGTCTGACCTTCCACTGGTTTTTGCGTTTGGACAATGGAACCCCTCAAAGGCCTCCAGGTCCTGCATTTTGAGCCTGTTGGGCAGGAGAGGGGGAAGGAGGCATGGGAAGGGTGACATGTCCTTTAGCACGTGGGCACCCCTTGACGGCTGCAGTGGCTCTCTAGGGCCGGGTGGAGGGGCTCGGGGCCGGGGATGCCGTGCTGCTGCAGTGACAACGGCGCTTCTGTGCTGTGCTCTCTCCGCAGTGGACGTGGCCGCGGCGCTGCCTTTGCAAGTCGCCCCCCCGGCGGTGCCCATGGACCTGCGCCTGGACCACCAGTTCTCGCTGCCCGTGACGGAGCCCACCCTGCGGGAGCAGCAGCTGCAGCAGGAGCTCCTGGCCCTCAAGCAGAAGCAGCAGCTCCAGAGGCAGATCCTCATCGCCGAGTTCCAGAGGCAGCACGAGCAGCTCTCGCGGCAGCACGAGGCCCAGCTGCACGAGCACATCAAAGTAAGCCGTGGCCGGCCGGCCGGGAGGAGCCGTGCACCGCGGGGGCCTGCAGCAATGCCACGCTCTGTAGCACCGAAATTCCGCTGCTCAGGCCTGCTCCCGATAACCGTCTGTAGTGCTAGGATTTACATTCAAGGGTATTCCTTGTAAACAGTGGCGGGTGTGGCGTCTAGTGGGAAACAGCACTTGAGAGTCACGGTGCAGAAGCGGCCTTAAAGTAGGGAAAATGCTTATCATCTAATTTCGTCTACAAAGATAGGATGTGTCTATAAATAGAAGAATTAGCAGCCAGAAGCAGCATCAAAATATTACTTTATTTTTGTACTTACTCTCTACAACTGTTTAATCTGATCCCAGATTTTAAAATAAGATACGTTGGAAAGAAACAGTTATTAGTGATATGTAATGAAGTCATATTATGTAGTTGACAGACCAGTTAGAATGTCTGTGATCATAATAACGCTCTCACTGTATTTAGAACTACATAGAGCAACAGTGTCAGTAGAAATATGCAGGGTATATTAAAATTGCGTATGTAATTTTACATTTTCTAGTAGCCATCTTAAAACGGCAGCTTGAAACAACAAACGTGTTATCTCATAGTTCCTGTGGGTCAGGAAGCTGGGAGCTGCTTAGCTGGTTGTTGTGACTCAGGGTCTCTCATGAGGCTGTGGTCAAGCTGTCAGGGCTGCTGTCTCATCCGAAGGGTTGGCTGGGGCTGCAGGATCCCCTTCTGAGCATGCCCAGGAGGTTGTGGGCAGAGGCCCCAGTCCTCATCACGTGGGCCTCTCACGGGCCCAGCTTCCCCAGAGGGAATGATCCAAGAGACCAAGATCCAAGTGACCAAGATGGAAGCCTCAGTGTCTCCTCTGACCTAATCTTGGGAGTGACATACCCCCTCCTCTGCCTTATTCTGCTGGTCACACAGACCACCTTCAGTACATCCCGGCAGGGGCATAGACAAGGGGTAAATACCAGGAGGCAGAGGTCACTGGGGCCTTTGTGAGCCTGGCCACCAAAAGGTAAAATTAATATAGTTTATTTAACCTCGTATTTCTACAATATATTATTTCAACATGTAATCAATATAAAAGTTCTGCCCGTGCTAAGTCTCAGTAAACCGTTGCGGTCTGGACACGCAGGGCACCCCTCCCTTTGGACCAGCTGCATTTCAGGCGCTCCGTGACCGCATGCACTTAGTGGCTACCGTGCTACACAGCACTGAGGTGAGGAATTAACAGCCCACACTGTGTGCTTCTTGATGCTTCCCAGACGCCCTTTCGAGAGAACAACATGGCCCATGGATAGATGTCACTAAGTCGGCCTTGGCTTCCTCAGACATTAGCCTGCACCCAGATGGCCTGTGCCCACTGGTGCTGTGCAGAATAACTGGTGCATCTATGTCTGTTTCTGCCTCTCCCCAGTAACTCCCTCAACTGCAGGATCCCGGTTACCCCTCCTTATAACGTAAAACACTTAGTTCACTGCATTCATTTAATAATCGTTGGGAAGGTAAATGTGACGGGCCCGTGCTACCAGTTCTGTCTGTAGACTCCCCAGCAGAATTGCTGGGCGAGGCCGCCCAGTGGTGTCACCTGGCTCAGCGAGCTGCGTCACAGTGCCCAGCGCGCCCCTGAGAATGGAGCCAGAGGCGGCTTGGAGTCCACATTCCAGGCTCCGAAGCACGTGTGAGCATGTGTGCACTTCCGAAGGCCTCATGAGACCCCAGAGTGCTGGAGAGCCACCTCGGGGGCCCTTGGTCTTTGGAGTTTTGGTTCTCACTTTGGTTTTTGTTGGTTTGGGATCGTTGTTGCTGCCGCTGCTGCTTCCCCCTGACTCAACTGGCCCTCCCAGGTTGGCACCAGACAAAGCCAGGAGAGGATGGCCTTCCTGAGCTGCTGGATGTCCAGGCCTTCTCGTTTTGCTGTTAGAATTCTGAGCGACCTCGTGGTCCTGTGTAACAAAGATGTCACCAGTCTCCATGGAGACTGGCCCACGAGCAGCCATCGTGATCCTTTGCCTTTTAACGAGCGCACTCGGGTTTGGGGTGGAGCGGTTGAGGGTCCTCAAGGGCACCCACGATGCCTTTGCTTCCCCGACACTGAGCACAGATGCTCCCTCGCCCACTCTTCCTGCTGGGACGACGGAGAGGGAGGACCCTCGGGATGCTGATGCGGCGTGGCCCGTCGGAGCCTCCGTATCGCTGGCAGCTGCTGCTCTGCCCTGCAGTGGACTGGCCCACGTCCCGCTGAGGGCCCCAGTCCTGCTGCGTTTGGCTGTGAGCATAGCAGCTTGCCTCTGGTTTCCAGGGCTGGGAGAAAGGTCTGAGTTAGGCTGGCTGGGGAAATGGTCACAGGAAAATGCAGTTACTCCAGGTGACCGCCCGCAGCCCACACAGTGGCCTCGATTTGCAGGCGGTCATAACTGACAGGCGCCCCCTCAACAGGCTGCTGGTTTCATTTTGCCTTTGAAGCTGTAGCCTCACATTTCTGTGACTCCTAAAAGCAATTTAAACAATCAGACTTGTGGCGCTCTCACATCCAGCGCGTGTGCTCGCCCGTGTCGGGCGTGTGCTGCGCTGCTACCCGCCAGCAGTCCTTCTGAACCCCTGCCCTCACAGTCCCGCATCTTGTCTCACCTTGGAAGTCTGGAGGACTGCTGCAGTCTCTCTTTGCCTGTCCCTCCAGATAGTCCCCTTTTACCCAGCTCTCCCCGACCAGCGGCCCAGTCACTGCTCTCCATCTCTCGAGGCCGCAGCACTGAGTGCCCTGAAGGCCCCTTTTCCCCACATGCTGCCCGGCCTGACACTGTCCACAGCTCTCACTCTGCGCGCAGCCACGCCGTTCCCGTCTCCCTGCAGGCCCCGCACAGCGCCTGGCTGAGGGGCGAGCTCAGCAGCTACTTGTTGAATTGTGTGTTTTTGAGGAGTCCCGTCCTCACCTGTTAGTAGAATGGGGAGCATTCAAACAGCGTGTGATTGGAAGATGGGCCCCGGACTTGCACTGTCGATTTTCATGCCCAACTAGGATTAAGGAAGACACTCATTTTTTATTTCTCCTTTATTCAGTTGAATTCGTAGCTTTTACAAGAAAAAAAATGAATGAGAAACAGAGATGAACAAGCCCCGTGTATGTGAGAATCGTCGGGGGCGGCAGTAAGAAGCAAGAAACGTCAGGAAGACCCCTGAGACTTGCCTTTGGTGCTGTCACCTCAGGGCAGGGCTGGACTTCCCCTGGCTGGGGGCCTCCGCCTGTGGGGGGTCTTGCTTCCTGGACCCCCTGTTTCTCCCCCACTGGTGCTCAGGAGTCATGTCACTGCTTTGGGGATGGACGAGTCTCCTTGCCGTCTCCTCCTGTCAGCCCCTGCAGCCTCCAGAGCAGGCTCCGTGCAGCCTGTGCAGGGCAGTCTAGCCAACCAGGCGCTGCGCACGCACGGTGTCCCCAGGGGAGCGTGCCCTGACCGCACGGCAGGACGGGCCGGCGGACAACAGGAGCCCTCAGCAGTGTGGCTCGAGGCCTGGTTCTCAGAAGCACGAGACGAATCTCAGGGCTACGTGTTGTCTGCATTTTAATCATTTGTTTTATTTTTCCATTTAAAACGGAGCTCATAAAAGCTGTTTAAACTGTGTAATTGTATCATTACATCCGTCGCTTTTGTTTTGATGATTTAAACTCTTCATGAGCCATCATACTGTTAGTGACATTTGGCAATGGTGTTTGTCAGACAGATTTCTTGAGCACACAGTCTAATTAGTGTCATCAAATCATCAGTGAATTTGGATAGAATTTTATAATTAAAAAGGAAATCGTTTTTAAAATCCAACTTAAATTGTTAACTTGGGATAAATAAGATCTTGTGTAAGTTTCAGCGTGAGAATCGCCCTCGCACTTGATGGCGTTTCTCTGCTGGTCGGGCTGCTCCACGCCCATCCTGCACAGTTAGTTCTGCTCTCTAGGATGGGGTCCCCGGTGAGCCTGTAACCGAGACAGAGGGCTGATGGAGTGAGAGAGTTTGGGGGTGGCAGGTGTTTATGCCCAGAAAATTGTTAACATTTGAGCAACTAGGACAGCGTGGACGCTTCAAAGACCATTATGTACGTTTGCCACTTTGGGGGTTTGTGGTGTTATTTTTAATTTTTTAATTTTATCAAGAAATACCTGTTTCTGATGTTTCACGTGCAAAAGTATCATAGTGTCTGCCCCTCCCTGCTCTGCCACCTCGCTTCCCAGGCCCGAGGTCTGTTCTGACACGTGCTCCCTGGTCTCCATGGCCAGCTCATCCTCCTGTCAGAGATCCCATGCGGTGATTTCTCCCTGGCAGCAAGGACTTGGCTCCGTCCCCTCCCACACACATACACGTGCACTGCCACTTCTTGGGTGCCTTCGAATACTTAGACCAGCCTTCTGATTAGCGAACTGTTCAGGGTCTCCGCTCCCGTGTCTGTGTGGTGCATACTGCTTGCACACGCCGTGCAGTGACTGTGGGTCCTTGCTCATGCAGCTCTTGGCTTTCACTGGAATTAATCGTTTCCTCTCTTCCCACTGCCTCTGTTCCCTGTGCCCCTCATGCAGATCCATTCCACAGGCTGAGAAACCCGTAATCTCTATTCAGTGTGGGCAAACACAGGGGATGGCACTCACGGCTGTCAGTCTCATGGTTCTTGTACAGCAGACTAAGTATGATGATACAATAACATGATTTTTGTATTTCAAAGTGTCTGAAATCTGAATCTGCCGCATCTTTAGATCAGAATCAATGATTTAAATATTTATTTTATGGAGAAAGGAGAACAGTTGTAGCATATAAGCCAGCACAAGGTCCTTCCTGCTTGAGTGGTGATGGCAGCCACTTTATAAGACTGCAAAGACGCTGTTGCAGGAGTGTCGCAGTTAACTTTTGCTGTGTAACAAGCCACCCCAAGTAGAGTGCTTACCACAGCAGTCATTTTGTTTGTGGAGGGTCGTGTGAGGTGCTCTTCAGGTCTGGGCTCGCTCTTGTAC